ACTGTCTCTAAAAACACAACACTTAGCCTAGCAGGGGAGCAAGTAAGAAATGACTTGCTACAAGGTCTATAATATACTGGGGGAAACCCTGCTTATGGTTGAAAACTTGGGTAACACGTTGATTTAACATCCCAGGACCTGCAGTGGTTTGGTTTGATGATGTATAGCTACTAACTCAACCAGTTTTATGTTAATATCTGTGACATTAGCAGAGTCAGTTGTTGTGTTTAATAAAGTTACTCATTTGTGGCGGCCATCTTGAATGGGATTGACATTAAGAGGTAATCAGTTACATACCCAAAGTTTAGCCCTTGGCAGAGGGTAATTAAAAATGCTCAGTAATGCTGGGAAATTAATGATTATTGGAAAAGGAAAACACTGAATAAACTTTAGATTACTGGTTCTTTCACTCTTGACTGCATTTCTTGGTTTTTAGTATCATTTTTGCTCGACTGAAATACTTGAATTAGTTTTTAGAAGCCCTGGAAAGAATTAAATATTATCTCAGAACCCGTTTCAGGTTTTGAAACTGTTTTTACAAGAGGAAGTAAGACCACGGTGTGTTTTTCTTGCTGTGAAATAGTTCCCGTGTGTCAGAATAAGATCACAGTGTTGTTATGTTTCAGAGAAACTTTTATAAAAAAAAAATAGGTCCTGAAAACTTGTCAGTCTGGTAGTGATTCTGTGCTCTGGGTGCACAGTATCTGTTACAGAAACAGAATAAATGTTTGGTTGAGACTCTGAGCAGGAGGTGATGTGAGGAAGTGTTGGACGAAGGAGGTGTGTGTTTCTGCTGCATGAAAAGGCTCTTTGATGGGAACGCCCCACTGAGCATGCTCGCAACAGCACAGAGGGGGAGGAGCCTATCTGAGCCCAGAGGGGGAGGAGCCTATCTGAGCCCAGAGGGGGAGGAGCCTATCTGAGCCCAGAGAGGAACACCAGGAAGCTAAAAATAAATAAAAACAAATTGTAGTGAAGATTTGTCTTTCTGCTGCTCAAATAAAGAAGTTCATTTTAACCACATACAGTCCTCTGAGGTCAGATCAGGTATAACTTTAGATGATTTTAATAATTTTCTTCTGGAAACAAGCAGAAAGCCTAAAATCATGAAACTTCAGAAGTCCCATTCTTTGAAAGAATGTTTATTGCCATATGTCTTTTCATGATATATTAAAAAAGATAAAGATCTTTTGCGATTTGTTGGCATTGATAAGTTGGAGACACCAAATTTTCTCTCAAGGTTTGTAATATGATTTGTAGTAATTTCTGTGTTTGCGAAGTTTAACTAATGGTAGTGGCCATCTTGAAACTGGTTGACTTCACTTGTTATTCAGTCATTAATATTGATTTAGTCATTACTTTCTGAAAGTTTTGTTAAAATCTGTCCAGTAGTACAAGATTCATTTTCTAATTAACACAAGGATGACCCAAACAGTTATTGCTGAAAATTTTAACAAAGATCTTTTGTGATTTGTTGGTGCATGGGTTTGGGGGACAGGAAAGAGACACAGGAGGACTGGTCCAGGTGTATTTTTCTCTGAAAGAGAGACAAAAAACACGTTATAGTTAGTGGAAGCTAACAATAAACTGCTAAGATGACTGTTGACTGCCATTTAAAGCATGGTGTGAGTGGGACTGATACAAACCTGTTAATTTTTTGTTGGTTTAATTTGAAGGTGGGCAGGATCAACTGTGGCAAAATGGCCAATCCAAACCATTTATAGCTCTGCCTAACTTGTTATACTTCCAATTTACCCCTTTCAAAATAAAAATGTTTCTTTTTATAAATACCATTTAAAATTAGTCAAACAAATTAGAGGCTTTAAAATCTGTCATTTAAAAATGAGAAGTCTTGTACCTAAACTGGGTGAATTCAAAGTAATACTTGCTCAGACACAAGCAC